AACCTCCAGCAGAAACAAGGCTCAGAGAGACCAGTTGGGGGTGAGACACACTGTGGAGAAGAGCCAGAGATGAGTAATAACTAACGATTAAATGCAGAGTGGTGTATAAACACATGCTGAGAAAAAAACGGTTGAATGAAAAAGAAACATTCATCACTGTATCATGGGAAGCTCCCGAGTCCAAACTGGAGCTTCAGTGTATTCCTTTCAACAATATCACCAGCAGCCAAACATCCTTAAACTCAGAGACGTAACACAGAAACTTGTCGTGACTAAAAATTGCTCCTGGAATTCAGTGAAACCCAAACATTTGAAAGCGTGAAAGTCTTGAAGTACCAACGCCTGCTTTTAACATTCATAAAATCACAATTTTAACTCTTGGAATGTGGTTAAAGCGATGCTAAGTGGCTGCCGAGAACTCTTCTCGCGCTGGACGGAGTGAAAAGGGTGGGGAGGGGGAAAAAAAGTGTAACTTGTGAAAGCATTTATGCATCAGATGTGCTGACAGTCGGGCGGTGTGTTTATATTCCAACAGAGTGCACTGGCACACTGTGCATCAGCTCAGCCGCTGCAGCTTGTCTGATGTGTCAGATGCTCCCTGAGTTTCCCTGCTCATTCCAGGGGAACATGTGCGCTGGAATTCTCCCCCAATTAAGACAGGGATTAGCTGGGTCTACTGTGGGAACCTGCTGAGTGTGGGAACGCAGAGGGTCTGCCCTTCTCTCCTTCCCTCACCGACACTCAGCCTCATTCTCACTCACTCCTGTTCATCGAGCCGCCTCCCTCCCGTCTTTCTCACCCGTACTGTAACCGTTCCTCCTCTCCAGTCTTCCACACTCACTCTATCATCATTTAGCACGGCTGTTTGAAGCACACCCAGCTTAAGCTCAATTTATGAAATCTTGCTTCCCTCTCATCTTTATAGTTATGCAACCAGGACCCGTTTACAATTTTTTTTAACCCCCTTTTCTTGCAGCCACCCAGACTCTCCAAAGCCTTCAGTCCTAATTCTTCGAGGTTTCTAAAGTGCACGGCTCGTCTCTTCTGTGCACCCCTCTCCTGCCCCCTTCCCTCCTCCCTCTTAATGCCTCTCCAGCCTTCATACTGAAAGCTTGTCTGGAGGGAAGCTGAGGACTCTTGCGTGAATAGTCTCAGACTGTCAGACTGAAAGAGGGGGTGAAAAGACAGCTCATCAGAAACGACAGGTGTCTCAGAGAACGGTTACAGTTGATGTTGGTAGGTCTGCAGTTGTTGTATCGTACACTGCACGAGCGATTTATGGGAAGCTCGTAAAACAATAAAGTTCCAATGACCTCCATTAGAACTAAACATCCATGAGAACAGCGAGACCCCCCCCCATCGTCACTACATTTCTTTCTCATGATCTCGCGATGCTCTCACTATCACACCAGATTTTTCTCCCACATTCCTCGCACTCATTGTCACTTTTTCTTCCTCATTCCCACTCTTCCTCAACTTTCCTTGCGTTCCCAGAAATCCATTCCCCGTACACCCCTCGACCACACAAGGCTTGTCCGTTCCAATTACGGCAGGGCCGTGCAGCACCCCCACCACCACCACCAACCCCCTCCACCCCAGGCTCACACACAGCCCACTCTCATTAAGCTTGTATCAATTAGGCATTAACCTCCTAAAACAAAGGGGCTCTTGACGAGCGGCCCATCGCGAGCCATGTGAGGTACTTCCTCCGCATCGCTACACCCCACTTCCCATCCTCAGAACGACACATTCGTGCAACCTTTTCACCACTTTCCCACCACCAAAACAAATGCGCGCCCAAAGTATCATCGACAAAACAGAAGAGTGTAGGGAACGTAAATAAGCATCATATGTTTCCATGCAGTTGCTAATGTTGATTAGGTCATGGTCCTGCATTGCAATGATTCCATTTAAAGCTCAGTGATAATGGTCCATGCACTCCTATAGTTGCTGCGTGAATGTGACGCAGCCTTCTGTCGACAATATAAATGATATTGTTGCGTGGGTAACTTTAAACAGAACTTTTTTAAATTATTGAAACACAGCATTTTCTTCATTCACAATTCACCAAGAAACCCAGACACAGAAACAAAATAAATATGTCATGAACATAGAAAAGATAAAAATTTGAAATAAATTTGAAATGATAAATTATTGTGTATATGATTGTGTGTGCCTAAAAAGACAGAAAAAGGGAGATACAGTGTTAAATGAGCTCAGATGTGTTAATCACAGTTTTAATTTGGTATCAGTAAAGTAGAAATATTAAAGAATGTATCATAATTTAACTGAAATAAATTTCGTCTTTGTGGCGTTTAAACTGTTCACCCCTGATCAGAAATAACAGAGTTCGTTCAGTTTGGATTTTGATGCTGAAATCTAAAATGCTGCAGTCTAACCCATTACACCCATCAACCTTGGTCATGCAGGCCTAGAGACCAGTCAGTGACCTCTAGTTGCTAGGGAAAAATGTGCATTTCCCAAACCATTGGCAAGTGTTTGCTGGCAGATGCTAGCAGTCCATCCATCCACTTCTACTTATCCAGTTCAGGGTCGTGAGGGGGCTGGAGCCTATCCCAGCTACCATGAGGCAAGAGGCAGGGCACACGCTGGACAAGTCACCTAACCCCAACACCTTACACCAAACACTTAACCTACTAACCCCACTAACTGCATGTCATTGGACAGTGAGAGGAAGAGAGAACATGCAAACTCCACCCACAGAGAAAGGCCCCGACCAGAGGGTGGATTCAAACCCAAGACCTTCTTGCTGTGAGGCAAAAGTGCCATCTTCCAGTCTGCTAGCAAACAAAGCACCATATAACTCTCTACCAGTTTCACCTTGTGAAACCTCCAGGAACTTTTCACCAACCACTTGTACATTTTTCCTTAGCAACCTGTTGTTTCCAGGGGGTCACAGACTGGTCTCTAGCACAGTGTGACAGAGGCCTTAGCAATCAATTTCACAGCGACTGGCATCAACTTCCATCAGTCACTTGCCAGCCAGTCGAGGAATACATTTTTTCCCTCGTGACCGGTGGTTGCCAGATGGTCACTGACTGCTTTCGTGGGCGACTGGGGCCTTTCATAGCCTCTGCAGGCAGCAGCCTTGGACTGGCACCCACGTCTAAAAAGGAACCCAAAGTACAATTGCCTTCAAACAACATTGTTTCCAATGGCCACCAGGGGGTGACTCCTCGGGTTGCACTCTCGTACACATTTGTGTTATATCAATAAGAAATTGACTCTGTTGCTCAATTCTTTTTAAGGGTCTGAAAATTGCTATAAATAGAAGTTTTTATAATCCTTCTAAGAGAAACATCGCTATAACTGAAAAGACAAACGGCCCATCACACTGATGGTGGATTCATTTGAATGATTGCTTCTCCCCATGAGCTCATATTAACCTCACAAAGAGCTTTCTCATCAACTGAGCACCGGATTCACATAAACTCATTTGTGTTTAGTTTACAGTTTGTCTAACTGCTCGTATTTTTGGAGGTTTTGCAGGAAGCAGGCACTTTGCCTCCACTTCAACTGGAAAAAAGTCATTAACATTTTTTTCTGTATTTTACTGTCAGCCAGACTCTTCACTAAGCCATTAACGGGATTTCTGTGTGGTTTAACGCAGCTGTTACATTAAAATAACTACCAACCAATCCTTCTTGTGACACTCATTTATACTATTTAATCAAAGCCTTTGCCATAGTTTACTTGTTAGTTCCCATGAATGAAATTTTCCATTTAGATGTCTACAATCTAAATCTAATCTAATAACGGTTATGGACAGTTTTTACTTCATAATAGCGGTCACATATGTGGCAGCAGATAAATGGCAGCTCACATACTATGGAGTCAAAATTTCCCATCTTAAGGGGGGGGTCCTGGCACATTGCCTCGGGGACCAGCTGTGGTGCAGCAGAGCGCTCTGCACTTGCTATGTTACAATCTCCACTGCGTGCTCTTTATTTATTTACTAAGAGCAAATTAATTTTGTGCAAGTTTGCGGAGGTATCCGCGCTTACGCATTACGACCGGTGGCCGAGCGGCAAACCTGGATTTGATTTTCCCACAGACGGCTCTCCCACAGATAGAGAGGAGTGGTCTCCAGCGCCCAGCGTTTTGGCACAGTGACTATGTTGGCACAGACCCAAAGCTGAACACCCCCTACCCCTTTTCCCAGGGCCCTGGGAGTGTAATACATTACTAACAAAATCCCACTTCCCATTCCTCTCAAACTTTCACCCCCCCCCGCCTCTTTCTCTTCCATGGCTGGCATGCCCCCAGAAATGGGAATTGGGGTGACATGTGTATGACTCCTTCAATCTCTTCTTTTCTCATCATTTCCTCTACAGTACGGTAGCATGAACATTTAAAAAAAATAATTTTCAACGTAAAGTTTGACATTGTTTTTTTTTCTTATTTCAAAAAATGCTAAAGAGACTTTTATAATTTTAAAGTTCTGCCTGTGAACTGTGGCAGGACACCCAGCCACCAATCTCACAAGAAAAGAAAAGCAGACCCTTTCACTGTTAAAGGGATTTAAAGGGAATAGCTGCCCATTCACACCATCACTGAGGTTATAAATATGAACCCTCATTCTGGAAAAAGCCTGGCTTGTCTGCCTGACAGTTCTCAACGCTGTATTGAGGGGAAAGCATTCACAGGCGTGCATGTGTCTGGGTAACATGTAATGACATTATTCTCACCACGGTGACCCCTCATTGTCACAACGCTTTCTTCTCCCGAGCTCGTGAAATTGACATAAGCTCTACAAACATTCCAGGCATTTTTTTCTCAAGGCCAGATTCTTTGAGAGGACGGGCGCTTTCATAGCGGGGACCATCAGTGCTCGCAGCACCACCTACTGATGGGACAGGTTTAAATGCTTAAAATGAGCTGTTTAAATACACTTATACTGAGTATATTGAGATCTGAGAAAAAAAAGAGAATTTTACAAATTCATAATGTTATATATTTAATTTTATTTTGATGTTTTAATTTTATTACTTGTTTCCTTAGCATTGAGCTGATTTGGCGCTTTGGGAACGCCCCGCCTCCTCTACTGTCCCGTGTAATCCGCGCAGATGTGCGATCTCTTGTTCATACCTGCAATCAGTAGTCAAGACCAATGTAGCATGCGTCTGAGAGCCGACGTTTTATAACCTACACATCAAGCTACTTCCTGACCTGCTCAGGTGCTTTTCAATATAGTCCTGCAACTCCAGCACCTGAACCTCTGCAACTGTCGCTCTGGTCATGAGAAGGGCACGCTCCTTCTCAAAGGACACCTGTTTGAAGGAATGAAATCTTCAAATAACCTTTTATTAGCATTTTGTTTTATATTAAGTATGTAATCAGACAGTATAAAAAGCTGAACATAGTGATTTGTTTACCGGCGTGGAGTCAGTGGGCTCCTTCAGCTGTTTTCTTATGTCACCACAGGATTCTTCGAATCGCTGCTCCGGTTTGTCCAGCCTGGTAAAGTCACATTTTTCAAACATTTATTTGACAAAATCCACAGCTGACCACATTTGTCTGATAAAAATAAGAGCAAGAAAAAAAAACAGTGACACTCACTGCTGACGGTTTATATTTTGCATGGGTATTTTGAACGTAGCCACCTAAAACGGAAAAGTCAGGCTTAAGATCAGGAATGATCTTCTCTGTATGAAAATATATCCCTCACGCCATTATACCACCACTACCAGTCTGAACAGCTGATACAAGGCAGAATGGATCCATGCTTTCACCTTGTTTTTATGCAAGGTTCAGAGTCTAGCAACAGGCTCAAGACTTCTCAGACCAGGAAATGTTTTTCTGTTGTCCAGTTTTCGGGGATCTTATGTGAATTGCAGCCCCAGTTTCCTGTTCTTTGCTCACTGTGGTCTTCTGCTGGTGCAGCCCATCGTTTTTAAGTTTATCCTGAGTTTAAACTTCTTGTCTTGACTATGACTCTATACTTAAATGCATTAAATTGCTGCCCTATGATTGGCTAATTGATTTTTGTGTTAACAAGTAGTTGAACAATAATAAAGGTGTCAGTAAGTGTAATCTTTCCTTAAACTGGAAACAAGTCTAAACTTCTCATTTTAGAGAAGTCAATGAGTATTTCTCTGATTTACACTCATGTTCTCAAATAGTTATTTTTTCTGAAAGCGTATTTAAGTAAAATCGGCTCTGCATGGCACCAAGGCAGAAACAAAACTGATTCAGAGCAGCGACTTTTATATATGAGTGCTGTTACATGATCCGAATCCACCTCTGCAGCAGTGAAACAGCAGCACAAACTTTAAAGTCAATATTTTCAGTATCACCACTCCCAACAAAAGAAAGTCTCTGGCTTAATATGGGAAGTATGGAAACAAAGACGACTCCCTACAGACCGAAAATAAGCACTCACGAGACAAAACAAAAGCAAATCATTCCACTTCAAAGCAGACTTTTGCTTTGTGCTACCTGCTCCCAAGCCGCCTGCAGCTGACCTTCCAGCCTTGCTTTGTCCTGGTGCAGTTGTTGGAGCTCCTTCTCCATTGCATCTTTCAGTTCAGTTGGCTCCAAGTTGAAGTGGGCTTCTGGAGGTCCGGGATCAAGACCATTCTCTGGTTTGGCCAAGATCTGCTCCCTCTGAAGCCTAAAGACCATCATGTAGGAACAAACCAGGTATTATTACACTGCTGATGGCAGTGCTTGAGTTCAGCCCCGCCCACAGACTTCAAACAAAGATCAGACATTGCCGGGTTAGAATAACTTTGCAACAAAATAATCCAAAGTAGTCGTGTTATATTATGCTCTATGTGCAAGATTTAGCATGTCCTACATGCTGTCTCTAATTATGGGAACGTTTTCATACACACTACAATAAATTTTAGTAAATGGATCAGAACATTGTTAAACTGCAGCTCATAAACAATCATGTCTAAATAAATAGGAATGAAACAAAGAAAGCATCACCTGTATGCAATCAGGAGGGCATGATGAGTTTGGGTGATCCTCTGTAGTCTCTTCTTATACGAGCGAGCAGCAGTGGCGAGCTGCTCCTCCCTCACCCTGTAGGATAAACGAACATCCTGCAGCATGCTGTCGATGAATCCTCTCATCTTACTCGGCTCTGACGGCCTTTTACTTTCTTCAAGCCCATCGATGTAGTCCTGGATTACACAGAGCAGAGGTCTTATCAATACTGCCACGTCTTACTATCAAACCTGCTTTGTGTGTGCCGTTACTCACAGCTATGTCCTGTAAGTAGCACACGAGCCTTGTGCGATATTCCTCAATCAGCTCTTTCACCTGCAGCTGCAGCTTGGAGTTCTCCTCCTCTGCCTCCTTTAATTGTCTCTGAGAGCACATCAGGGCCTTCAAAGGAAACAGCACAAACAGAACATCATTACCCCCCACCTATAAAGTTTAAAGTTTAAACAGAGCGAGGAATGGATATACAAAGTTATCACAGCATTACAAATCAGCATATAAACAGTGGTAATAACCAGGAATGCTCACCGCACTCTGCTCAGAGACTTTCTGCTGGCTAACGTGCATTGCTCTGTGGATCTGCTGGTGCTCTTTACCCATCGCCACCCTGGTGACCAAACACAGGCCACGACCACAAGAGAGCACAAATCCAAAGAGAAGAAGCAAAGAGACCACATCACACATGCACAGAGCAAGTAAAGCCACAGCTTAGCAGAAAAAAATCAAAGAGGCAACCACAAAGCAGATGCATGTGGGGCAAACACTGGGACGCACTACATCCTGACTGGAAATGCAAAGATAATGATCTTTTATTTTCATTGAGCTTTTGCACAAGTAAATGACAAACACTCGCACACTTTCTCCTCCAGTTTCTTCTGCTGCTCCTTGTAGCTGCTCTTCATTTCCTCCAGCTTGTCTTTGATCTCATCTTGGTTTTCAAGCAGCTACGTGAGGAAGATGAATGAAAAAGCTGAGTGAGGCAGTCAGAGACTTATAAACTTCGACGGTTACTATTTTGAAACTTAAGGACTCACAGTTTTCTGCATGCTTTTTTGCTCCTTCTCCATCTCTGCTTGTTCCTCAGGCTGTCAATACAACATACAAGCATTTCAAATGAACAACATAACAAAACATGAGAATCTGTATTCTAATTCTAACAACTTAAAGTTGCTCCTTATGGTGGAGCTCGATATTTACTGCCTCACCTTGACTGTGTCATGTGACATGCGGGTGATCAAAGCCCGCACCCTGTCTAGCTCCCCATGAAGACCTTCGGTGCTGGTCTTCACACATTGATGCTGCTCCTCCAGCTGCCTGCGGAGGGCGTCCTGGGCCTGGGCCAGCACCAGCAGCTCTGCTGTGAGCGCTCCACTCTTGGCTAATTCTTTATCGTGGACCTCAGCCAGAATCTGGTAGTTCTTCTTTAGTGTGGCATATTCCTCAGTCAAGTCCTGGCCACTAGTCTCTTTCCCTTTCAGCCATGTCTCAGTGGACTGCAGTTCCCTGAGCAACCTGTCTCGCTCTATTTCCAGCTCTGTTATCACACCTTCTTGGTTAAGTACCTAACCAGAGTGAGAAGGAAAAAAAGTGCAGAAAAGGTGATTCAGGATGATCCTGTCAGCAGTCTTGTTGTGGAAGGATTTGTAGAAAAACCCTCACCTTGGTTTTCAGCTCAAATGTCTCTTCTTCATACTGTTCTCTTATCTTATTAGCCTTAATTTTCTCCTCTACAAGCTCCTTATAGATCTAAACAGACATTGGGAGAGAAAATAAAAAGGTTAGTTCTGTAGTATACACTCACAATTAAATTATGACTCATGTTTGTTTAACGCACCTTCAGTCTTTCCTCTTCACTCTGGACCAGCCTGCAGGACAGGTCTGTGTTGGAGCTGGCCAGGTGGCTCAGTCTGGTCTCCAGGTAGCCCACTTTGGTGAGGACACGCTGGTATTTGCCACGCCACTGCAACTATACATGCACACATTTTATACAGAGGGGGAAATAATTATTTGATCCCCTGAAAAACAGCGCCAAAGTATAATGCCTCCACCTCTCTGTGCTCGACTGTGGGGACGGTGTCCTTTAAGTTATACTCAGCATTTCCCTCCTTCCAAACATGACGGGTCAATTTTGGTTTCATCTGACCACACAACTTTTCTGCCAAGACTTCTCTGAATCAAACAGATAAGTTTGCCTACACATGTGCATAGGGGCCCTTACAAGATCCCACAAACAGTTGTCACCTTCACACCAAGCTTCTTTGCTGATGGTCTTGTAGCGCATTCCAGCCTTGTGCAGGTGTAAAATCCTGTCCCTGACGTTCTTTGGAAAGGTTAGAATTCTGTGGACAGGTGTGCTCTATAAATATAACAGTTACGATCAGGAGTATCATTAATTGATCAATTGGTTGGTTGGCTGTGCACCACATGGGCACACAGTCAGTTGTGGCTGGGTTAAAGGAGATCAGGTATCTCACTCAATGACATGCAAATACATTTAGAACTTTATTTAATCAGTTATTTTTTTCTAGGTTGTTTTTTCTTCTTTGTCCATTAAAACGAACCCATTATAAAACTTCGAAACTGTTAATTTCTTTGGAAGAAAGCAAACATAAAAAGCACTAGTCTTAAGGCCTCCAGTTTTGCTGCTGTGTGATCATTTCACCCTTTTTGGTAAAGCTACCTTGCCAAAAGCGAGAATACTTAGTAAGAAGACAAATGGGAAAGGTCTTACTCACATTTTCTCCTGTCAGAGCTTGAACTCGTTCCTGAAGCTGATTTGAATTTTGGTCCTGGCCGTCCATCTTTTCTTCCCCTCCACTGTCAGCTGTTGCTTGTATCCACCAACAACGTCTCCATGACTCCACAACACAAACAAAACTCATGTGTGGAAACTCTTTCTTCAGATTTCACTTAATACCAATTGTGAATAAATGTGTATTATCACCACCACATGTCACAGTAAATGTATTCTGGTGCATATTTGACCGCTCTTAGCCTGCTAACCTGTTAGTATCTAAAGTTAGCTTGGTAAAACATGAAGTACGGGTAACAGTAACAGTTTTATAAGCGACTCCGCTGTTTCTACTTATCCTTTATACTCTATTCAGTCCCTTATCAAAGAACTACGGTACAATTCTATGGACAACGGCGCCCTCTTGAGCACACAGTTGGAATAGCTGCTCTTCTATAATACTTCAACAATCTAGCTTAACAACCCAACATAGCACCATACGCTCATTATATTACATCATAACTAATGACAGGGGGTTATGCTAACTCAGCTAAACATAACAATCTTATCTCTCATACACAAAAAGTGATCATGATAATTGAAAAAAATAGAAGCACAGTCGAGGTTTCTGCTACACCTTGATACTTAAAAAAGTCTGAAAAGGTTAGAACTCCAGCAGCACTTGCGACACAAAAAACAGCTTTACACCTCAGTCAGTGTGCAGTGAGCTTTTTTGCATATCTAGCTAAAACAAAAACTATGATTTCCATCTCATTTTATTTGATGTTTTAATGGGAACTTTACAATGTATAAGAACAATGCAATTAATTCACAGTCTACGGTACTGCTAGACGTGGCCTCGTGTTATCAAAAATAGCTCCAAAAGGCTTTACAGAGATGAGTCAAGACACTGAGAAGATATTTACATTTAATACATCAGCTGAATATGAAAATAAATTGTACCAAATGTGTGTAAACCACAGTCAGACATGAGGAATAAATCAATCCCTGTAAAAACAGTCGTTCATAAAGCCACAGAGATAAATCTATAACATCATTCAGAGCCAAGTTTAGCTCAAAGGCGTTCTGCGTTCACAAAAGCTGCTGGAAAAAGGTTAAACCTAGGATTTAAATTTAAGAATAAAACAGCTGCATTACGTGATTTCCCTTTGCAGAGGATAGAGGTTCAATGTTCATTATATTCAGCATTTTGGAAAATGTTGCAACCTCGGCCAAGTTTGTCATATACATTAACTCCATATTGCAGTATCTTGTGTAGGTTTTTGATGTTTTGCAGCTCACACACACACAAACGTTTTAGTTTTCGTGTTTTCCACAGTACTCATTCAATATCTGATAGTCGAGTGCCTTTGAATGCAAACAGATGCTGTGCTCAGTCCACATAATGTGACTTTGGCAACCCTCATATCTCCCATGTAAGTTGTTTCGGACAAAACCAACTCCACAGTTATTTCCGGTCTGAAAAAGTGCAGATATATTTGATATAGTTTTACTGGGTTAAAACATGTTTAAATCCTCCTCCACTTCGTCTTCCTCCTTTGAGATGTGTATGTTGTCACTGCGATCCATAGGTATACCAAGCTCTTTCTGCAGGGCCACTAGGCTGGCCTGGCTGATGTAGTAGCTAACATTCTGGGATGGCAACAGCTTTTGGAGCTGCTCCAGTTTACGATTGGCCTGGAAAAGAATTACAAAGGACACAAATAGAAAAATTTAGAAAGTAGCACCAAGGATTTGTTTTTTTAAATTGAGTTACATGATGAATCATTACAGCCCTACATTAATGTGATTAGTGTAATCTGACCTATTGAAAAATCTAGAAAAAGAAGACAGTCACCAATTGGAAGTTGCCTTGCTGACAGTGGTGCTCGATAAGGAAACCAAACACATCTCCAATCCTCACAGCAGGGTCCAGCTCTGGCTCCTCCAGCAGGGTTTCACACAGCTGCACCGCCTCGCTGGCATCCTCGCTGTACAAACTGTAGACAAATGTGATGAGCTCAAAGCTTCGCAGACAGGTTGATAACGAAACATCCATCAAAAACGACCCGTTCTATGATGAAAACCAAAACTTACGGTAAAACTGAAATAATCAAAATGAGTTCATATTCGTACCTGCGTATGTGGACAAACTTCCTGATTAAGGTGATCTTGTGCTGCAGATCAGCCAGTCGCACTTCCTGTTGTCCGCTTGAAGCGTCCTTTGCTTTTGAGAGACACTTTGATGCCTCAGTCAGAGCATCCAGAGCCTTTTCATAGTTCTGGTAATCATCAATCTCCACCTTTTAAATGATAACAAAATAACTTTTTATTGAACCATCAAGATGTATCTATAAATTGTATTTTGCTTGATGTGCTCTGATACTGAGGCAGGCTTTTTTTGTTTTTTTTGTTCCAATTATATAATTCAATATAAACGTCAAAACAAACCGGCCAAATGAACTGATATTTTGCTCACCTGAGCACAAGCTTCATAGAAGCCAGCAAGCAGGTCCGGTGCCCTGCCTTTAGTGTAGAAACCAATAATTGTTTTTAAGATATCTGGATCTTTACGCCAGTCTAGAGATTGGAGATAGTTGGCGGCCAAGATGAAAAGCTCTTTCTGACGACTAACATTGGCAAAGAAAACAATTTTCTCTGTGTCGCCTGACTTCAGGAGCGCCCTCATTGCCTGTTAAGAAGAAACAAAATAATTTAAGTTTTTAGAGTCACAATTATTTCGTTTCCAGTGTAACAGCATGATGCATACTTTTTTTTTCCCTCAAGGAGACACATTAGGTGTTGCATATGTATCAGGTAAGATACGTCCTATGCACAGAATTCCTAATGAGTGTACAGCACATCTGATAATTACCTTGAGTTTGTTGCCAGCCTGTGTGTATTTCTTAGTGGCCAGATGGTAATTGCCCTGCCGCATGCAACAGTCAGCGATCCTCTCCAGCAGCTCCTTGCGGGCCTCTTCGGACATATCCTTCGAATCAGGTACAGTCATTCTCTCGGCCAAATCCTCTGTGATCGTTAGGTTCTGCGTCACGCACAGTTCCAGGGCTTGGTGGTACTGGGTACACAAATGTGGAGACACAAAAGCAGGAGTTAGCACATATGAATGGATTTACGAGCAGACAGGTGATGCTGTGTCGCAGCGGTACCTTCTTGGCTGCTACCAGTAACTCCACTGACTTCTCATACTTGGAATGTGTGCTGAAGAAGTCAGAGCAGCGAGCCAGGAGGGCTGGGTCTGAGCTCTCATTGAGATCCTCTGCGATCATCTCAAGAGCACCAAACTGCTCGGTGGCAAAGGCCAGCTCTAGAGCTCTGGACACATAGCCAGCCTATAAGAAAGAAATGAATAAATATAGCCACAGTTGAAAATCTACTTCACATTGCTTACTTTAAATGTATTTAACAATACCACCACCCCCCCTTGTGGAACGATTTATAATGCATCAATCCATTCACTGGAAAGGAAAAAAAACCACAGACAGCTGTGATGCACCTTGTGGTAAAGCGCAACAGCACGATCCAAATGGGAGCCTTTCTCCTCGTAGTAACACGCAGCCTCCATCATGTCCTCTGGGTTACTGAGCAGGGCCAGGTTCATCAGCTGGTCATCCAGGCCGTTCTCCTGATCAGACAAACACAAGAAAACAACAATGGGAAAAAAGAAAGCAAACAAAAAAAAGAAAAAAAGTCTTGCTTTATATATAGATATATATTTCTAACTGAGGCTGCTGAAAAACCCTTACTTTACAAAGTCGTATAGCATTATTGTAGGCCTGGGCTCGTGTGTAGAAGTGAACAGCTTGTTTAATATCATGTCCCTCGTAATGCCTGGCCAGGTGGTAAGAAGCTGCTCTGTCTCCCGTATTGTTGGCTATCTCTGACGCCTAGGAAATTTCAAAAATGTTATCATATAAAAGAAGAATGTAAATTAGTCAGAATAACAATACTGTTTACAGTGGCTTACAATGGTACAAGCCTATACATGTTTCCTAAGTACACAAGACACTATATATAAATCAGTAAACTCAACTCTTCAAGATCAAATTCTTTAAAATTACAAGTTTACAAACTGAGTCACCTTCTGAATGTCCCCCCTGTAGCAGAAGATTCGAACGAGGGAAAGATAATCCTGAGCACACTCGTAGAAATGCAGTGCAGAATCCAGGTCTGCCTGACTCTCCAGGTACTGGGCCCACCACTTATAGATGCTCCTGAGTTATACAGATGGAAGGACTGGTGTTTAAAAGCATTTCAGATGTTTTTAACCATAAAGGGAGAGCCGGGACTTACTTGTCTTTCATTTTGTTAACATAAATCTCTAGAGATGACGTGTCGTCCTGGAGCATTCTGGGCACTTCAACTCTGTGTGTGTCTGATTTCTCATAGCTGTAACAAAAAGGATAACAATCAGTCACACTTTGTTCCTATTGTATAGTTGTTCCGACACACACGACTACATTACTGACCAAATAATAAATAAGCTTTTGTTTTCCTTACTAAGTGAGGGCCAGTGTCTTGTCGCCCATGGATTCCAGGTATTTGGCATAACTGTAGTACGTGGCGCGCAGGTGGATGCGATCGTGAACTTCAGCTGTCTCCAAAGCCTGCTGCCATTTACCAGAAGCCTGATAGAAATTGTTCAGCAGGTCGTAGCGCTGACAGCTTTTGTACAAATTTTCTGCATCCTCCTGTTGGAAGACAGGAAAAGATGATGGAAAGATAAATGCTTTTGGCCCGGAAAGTCCCTTAGTCTGTGCGTGGTACAACTTAAAGGAAGGATGTGTTATTTGTAGCCAAAGCATGTGGCATTTCTGTGAGCTGGATCGCAGGTTTTTTGTTTTAAAAATGACTAAAATTATCTTCTAGAATGATTTTATAAACTCAAGTTCCTTTTTTTAAAGTTATCTTGTCTTTTTAAATGAAATGTAATTTTTTCTCTTATGGAGTTTTCACATTAGGTTGCAACCTGAACCCAAATACAGAGGAATAACCCTTTTTGCAATTCTTTCTTATAGTCTGGGGCGAAAATAAAAAGATTCTTTAATATCTCACCAGCATGCCCAGCTGAATGGCCAACATCGCAACTTGGGTTTCTGGTTCAGGCTCAGCCTCCGCCTCCTTTAGTGCTTTTGCTGCCCTGGCATTTCCCATATTCCCAAGGCACACGCGTGCCACATCCAGCCGGCGGGTTTTCACACACATCCGTGCCATGTTTTCCCACACCGCTTTACTACAAGAGAAAGGAGAAATGGCTTGTTTGCAAGGATGATGTGTGTGTGGCTCACTGCCTTGGCATTTTAGTATTCAACAGTAAGATCAGTCATACACACATACACAAATAAGTAAATATATACATAGAAAAAAATTAAAAGTTGGTAGGTATTTAATATTTTCCACTTATGTCTGGTTCCATTTAAGCTTATATTTGATAGTTAGACTGAATGCATGTGAATATGGGGACAAACCTGACTTAAGGCTTTAAATGCTTTTATGTCACTAGGGTCAGACTTTTAGTGGTGTAGTATCATTCCAATATCAAACAATGATAATGAATGTCCATCAAACAATCCTGTTTACTGATAAAAGCATAACCTAGAAATTATTACATTTTAAGATGGAGAAGAGGATTTTAAACTCAAAACAAAGGTCATTCTTTATCTTTCCTTTTCTTTTTTCCTTTTCTCTGACGTAAATCAAGTCTTTTACACACACCCCATCCCCCAGTTCAGTTTCAATTCCAAATATAAGATTCCACAGCCATCTGGTCTCTATTTCCATCCCCTCCCTCCTCCTTGCTTTAGCTGATACAGATGTGGGCTGTTTATTAAAGTTAGGCAACAGGAAATACCCCAAATCTTTAGGGGCCTTGCTATAAGAAGTGAGACAAAGTGAAAAAAAGCAATAGTAATAGGTGGCAGCCAAAGTCTTACTGTTTATGGTAATAGAAAACAAAACAGAGGGAGGGAAAAATCTGAGTTATTTAAAAATGTTGAGTAAAAAATCATGTTCACAGCACTCTGAGTGGCCAGATTTAGAGAGCCAGAAAAGGAAAGACAAGAGAAGAAACAGGTCTACATTTGGCCTCTCTTCCCATCCTCTTTTCCTCTCAGGAAACACATCCTGTTGCTGGCCGACTGTGGCAGTCACTATGTTTGTTGTACATGAGAGTGGAGACTTTAGCAAACGCCCCCTGGTCTCCAGACAAAAGAATATACCGAACAGTGACGTCTAAGAGGGGGTCTTTTGGACATTCTGTCACACGAACGCACTGGCACAAACACAGGCTCATATTTAAAGTGATCATGAAGGAGGGAGCTGTTTGTTCAGTGCTTGCTACAGCTGCTAAGTGATTCCTCGGATTATGATGAACTGCAACTCCCCTGCATTTCAACTCTGACCGCAAACATTTGCAGAGAAACCGTGTGTGCGCGAGTGAGCAACAGAGAAAAAGAGAGAGTGAGAGGGGGGAAAGATAGAAGGAGGCAAAAGGGGGTGGGCTAGAGGACTTCTTGTTCCAGGCAGGCAGCAGGGGCTCTTCAAGTTGAGAGACAGTCTTGGGTAGTCAAAGCAAAGCCACCTACGAGTCAGCTCCTAGCAACGCTCTCCGAAGAATCTACTTTTGTCATCTGTACTTTTCTGGAAGAAATGTGGCATTTCTGAGAAGAAGAAAAGGAAAGTCGATCTACTGCACAGCTAAATAAACCAACTGCAAACCCAGAAGTCTGAAAAGTGCATTAAACAGAGCACTGGAGGGTGGAAAAGCAGAAGATAAAAGTACAAGCAAGGACTGAGATCCAAGAGTCAAGCTGCAGTCAGCCGGAGCCAGTGGAATGGACCTAGGTGCCAGTTGGATCAATCCCGACGTACCCACACTGCTGTCTGAGGAGGAGGGCTGAGGATCTGCTGCAACGACAACCAACTCCTGAATGAGGATGAATGGAGATGTCCTTTAGCTAAGCCCTAAAACAAAACTCTTGCCAAATTCACCTCTGGGTGAGCTGGGACGACACTAGCTAATAGCTGAAAGAAGAAGAAGGTGGTGGTGGAGGAGGTGGAGAGTAGCCAGGGGGCCCAGAGCACTGCTAGTGCTCCTGGCCCAGAGGAGAGGCGAGGGAGCTGGCAGCCCACTGAGCTCGAACAGGACTCGGAGCAGGGGCACGACGGAGGGGGAGAGGTGGCAGGTGCCGGGCATCACATGGCCTTGCAGAGGCTGGTGGTAGCAGCGGTGGCCGTAGCCCTGCTGTCCCTGGTCCTAAATAATGTGGCAGCCGTCACACCCAGCTGGGTTCTGCAGGCTCTGGAGGACGGCCGAAAGCGCAGTGTGGGACTATGGAAGATGTGCCCCAACAGCGGGGAGAGGGGCCGTGACGACCTCCAGGCTGACAGAAGGGGGCAAGGCACACAGAAGCAATGTGAAAGCATTGGTTGGGGCTCTGAGTATGCAGGCTACCAAGAATCCCGTAGCACTGTCAAATGTAAGTTTTAACTTTACTTTAGATTTTACATTCGACATCACAGCATGCTTATGTCTGCTTTAAAAAAAGTGTCTAACCTTTGTCTTGTTAAACTTGCTGACTGATACATTGGTACATCCTTATAAATAAAAGAAATACACTTAATGCTGCAGATATCGCTGTACTGCAGAGTTTTATATAGTAGTCAGTTTTGTTCTTTTTCATATGAAAAGACACCTCTGAAGAATTTCACTGTTGGGGTAAAATTGACATCCATGAATTAAATCCAAGCTCCTAACTTTCAAGTTTATCCAATGTATTCAACCATCCAAAAATCTGTAGCATGTACTCCATAAAACAGCTACATTTTTCAGTCAAAGTCAATGCTACAATGGATTTATATGCTTCTAATAATAAGCTCCAAACTGTCTTTCAAGAACAAGTCTGGGAAATGCTGGAAATCCATTGGCCAGCTTTACTGGTCACTGGGCAGCGCTGCCAACTAATGGCAGAAGTGACTTACCATTCATGAAAAAATAGTAATCGTGTCAATGCCCCTGTGCTGGAAGTGTATTTTATAACCCTGTTTCCAAAAAACCCAAAAAAACTGGAATATAGGTCACAAAAGAACAGAACTCCTCCCCCCACAAAACTTCAAAAAATATAACATAACATAGAAACCTCAACAATTTCAGAAAATCTCAGCCAATATAGGAGTTTTATCCTTGCATGATTTCATCATCTGCGGTATAAACTGCCATAAGTAAAAGACTCAGATAATCTGGAGAAATCTACATACTTCTAAAATCAAAGTGAACACAGTTTTTGCATCCACAAATAAAAGTTCAAGCTCTACCACGCAAACATAAATTGAACATGAACTGGTATTCATGTAGAGGTTTTACACTCTAACTGACCACTTAATGTATCTACTGGACTGTATGAATACATGAATGTCTTCAAGGGAAATCTGTAGATGGATGTTTCAGGGGTTGTTGTGGCTCAGGAGGTAGAGCAGGTCATCTACTAATTGAAAGGTTGATGGTTCATAAGTATGGATGCTTTGTTATCCTTGGCGTCATCACAGTGTGCGTGTGTGTGTAAATCTTAGATAGAAAGCAGTTAGATGAAGAAAAAGGTACTGTGTGAATGGGTGAATGAGACATGCTGTACAAAGCACTTTTAGTGCTCAAATAGAGTAGAAAAGCACTATCTAAGAACAGGTTTATTTACCTTCAGATCAGGGAATGATCAGCTGTATCCCCTGAGTCACATCAACCAGTAAAACAAACACAAAAAAATATATTAATATGTATAAATAAGACTGAGAAACACAGCTGCCTTTTCTGGGAATGATCTTATATGAGATAGATAGAGTCATGGACAGTCTGTCCAGCAGGCTAAAGACAAGATCCATCCAGCTCAGTTCCAAAGCATCTGTGATGATATAGGGATGGAGTAGTACACAAGGCACTGGCAAAGTGCAGAATGTCTGGATACTTGCGTATGCTGCCATCAGGGCAGCGTTTGCTTCTGGGAAGGTTTTGTCTTTTTCAGCAAGACAATGCCAAACCACATTCTGCACGTAATTACAATTCTGCAAGTATAACTGCAGTTCTCCAGAGGAAAAGAGTCGTGAGCATTCCTGCCTTCACACACACACACACACACACACACACACACACACACACACACACACACAAAACTGAAACAAGACCAACCAGCTCTGAACCACTGTGAAGCTGAAATCCTATATTGAGTTATACTCCACAGTTCAAAAATCCTTCAGTGTTTCAGAAGAGGAGGTGGCCTCTATGTTCTGTGTTGTTTTTGCACTAGATTTTTTTTTTTTTTTTAGAAACCGTGGGTACATTTTAAATAAATTAGTAAATTGGTTTTATGGTGCCTTCAAAAATTCAGACATATAATAAAGCTATCCTTTAAAACTATTATTGCCATTTAGTTTTTCATGTGTATATTTGACTCTTTTACATCACAGTGCCAGAAATATGACACAACTTTTTCTTCTTGTCCTTCAAGTGCAGTTTAACATGATGCGAGCATGTAACCTGATAGCGACAGTGGCCCTGACTGCAGGTCAGCTGATCTTCCTTCTAGGCCTGATGAAGTTGCCCTTCATCTCACACGAATCCCAGTGGTGGGAAGAAGCCATCGCTGCACTTTTCCAACTAACCAGTAAGTACCAGCATCCCCTCTTTTTAAGTGTTTTGCCATTTGCAAAGATTTAACCAAATCCAAAATTTACATATCCATGTATACAAATGCTACAGACCAAAGTTCACACGGTGTCTGGCCGAGTGCCATAAAATTGGGCTGTAATCACAGCTGGACCTGGACTGGGCAACTTTCCAATACTGAAGATCAACTTCTAAGCCTCAAATGCTGCAGGAAGTTACTGTGAAAAACTTAAGACACTAGCAAATCTCATCCTTTAGGTCTACCTAAGAAAAAGTAAACCCTAATTTAAAAAAAAATAAATGCATCATAGACCATATTTTTACTAAATGTGGATACTCATCCATATTTAAATGAAAAGTGGTCACAATAGCGGAAACAAAATCTGACTTGATAAGACTCTCCATCAATTCAGTCAAAATTTCGAAAACGAGAGGAAGATAGAACCTGTACTATCCTCAGGATTAACTGCAATTGGAATTAACTAGCATCTATCCATTGTCGATCCCTCCATCCATCCATCCATCCTCTACTATCGACATTAAGTGTCCCCTAGTATTGACTTGTCCCGGTGCCCCTGCTGAGGAAGTGTGTTGTGCGCTGCGGTCACTCAGCTGCTTGGTTTCTGAGCAGCATGAAGGGGGTCTGCTGTGGGTTTAAATTTAGTCCTAGTCCAAAATCTATGGACCAAAGCTGCAGTGAGCCAGGGAGCGACTGTCGGGCGCCAGGATATCCCTGCTCAGGACGAGGAAATGTCTGTAACTACCTGTTATGCAAACCCCTGAGCTGAAGAAGGAAAAAGAGGGGAGGGGGGAATTAACGGGAAAGACAGTTTTCGACGGGGACTGTGTGTTTGTGTGTGCACTTGCAGGAGGGAATATGTGCATATATGCTTGTGTATGTTAAGAGTGTGTTGTGGCGTGATTGTCTGTTTATAGTGAGCTTCGGTGAAGAAATGTCCTTTGGTACTCATGACAGCAGGGTGGGACTTGCCTCACTCTAGATACACTGGCCTAGCTTTTATGTCTGTTTACAAAGTGTCTAAGAGTAGTTGCAAGTAAAGAATCTCCTCTTTATCTTTAGTCTATTCAGGACAAATTCCAGCGGGGCTGATGGCTTTTATCTAAAGACCTTGGTGAGAGGATTGAGGCCCACCCAGTATTACTGCATTTTCCTATATTAGACAACAACACGAGGAACACCTCAGTGGCCAGGAGCTCATCTCACAAAAGAACGATTACCAAAGGCAGCAGCATAATAGATTTGGCATTCTAAAAAGAAATCTACAGCACACACCTACTTCCCTGACATTAAAAAAAATAACACTCTCTGGAAAAATCTGATCTTCCAATTTTACTCTTCTGACACAAAAAGGTTATTATCAAAATGTACGTAATCTTGACCTTAGAAATTTATCAGTTCATAGTCGTTCATAGGACACGACACAAGAAAAAAAAAATCAGATGACAAGTGTCGCTTGTATATACTGAGCTCCTTTGTTTTCTTAAAGACAGATTGCTCCAGAGAACATCTTTAACACATGGACGTCAGATAAAACTACCAAACTAAGAAAAAAACAGACTAAACATTCGAATTTTGACGACTGGAGCTGAAGTTAACTTGCTACTTCCAGCTGATAGAAATCTTCTGTTTGAGTTTATTACATACATAAAAATAAACTCAACAACTGCTACACTTATATTATTTTCTTCATCATTTCTTATTATTCACTTCATCTTATTTTCTGATGTTTTTAAAATACACTCCCATATCCACATACACGTAACACGTGTATCAAAGTAACTATCCACTAATATTTGCTACGTGAAAACTCTGTGACATGCAATAAATATGTCTTAAAGGCAGAACAGCATTATTTTAACAGATCCATCCAGACCAAACAGACCTATCTGTTCTAGGCTCGGCAGATGTTTTCACATATTAGAAAATGATATGACTTCCAAATATTATCCTATGAAATATAAATTCAAAATAAAAAAAGGCACATTTCTTTAAGCCTTATTTTGTATGGATAACAGCAAGATGTTTCTCAAGGTCACAAACAAGGCTTGTTCTTTAGACAAACTAGAAGTCTAAAGCTCCAGTCACACCGGCCTAAAGACTTGTCAGCAACCTCCAAGTACCCACCAGTCACTTGGGAAAAATGTGTATTTCCTAAATACTGCATAGATGTGTCACTAGATGAGAGTAAACTTTGATCTAATGGGTGGGGTAGTTGCACATGTAAGTCAAGAGTCATTAGATATAAGTCAGCAACATTAATCCTAAACCACCCTAAGCTTGGCCGTCTCAACCAAATTTCTTGAAAATACATCCAATGTTTATTGTATTACAGCATTATGAAAAAAAAAAAACTTGGGCCACCTCTTATTTCAAGCCAGGCTTTCTGGTCATTTATTAAAGTGGGCTTCAGCAATAGTTCTCCATGCTTTCTGAAGCTGAAGTTTTTCTTCAGACATTGTCTGCCTTCCACTCATTTTTACTTCAGTCCTTGCACCAGACCATTTTGTTTGATTGTTTAACGGGCATAAAATAATACTTTTGCACTAATAGGGCGATTCTCAAAGTGCTAAAGGCTTAAAACTTGCCGTATTTTAGCATGGTGAGTCTTTAAAGATTTGTGGAAACTGGACAAACAGAAGAGAAAAGAAGAAGAAGTGGCCCATCGACAGCAGATGAACAGCATCTGGAAATCATGGTCTGAACAGATAAAAGAAAAACTTTCAGAAAAGACCTGAAACAGGACCATGAGAATTGCATCTGGCCCTTCAGATGATCCATCTACTGTTTACTGAAGCCTCATGAACAGCAGTGACACCTCAATGGTGCCAGTGGAAGGAAAGGAAGGGAAAGGAATAAATTGATGACTTTTGCCAAAATACACAAGAACTGAGCTGGAAATCAGTAGAAACAGGTCTGATAGAGTGATGTATCCAAAATTTAAATTTTGGGTCGTTAGAATAGGCTCCAGCCCCCCACAACTCTAATAAGGATAAGCAGGAGAGAATGATGATGGATGGATGGGTTTAAATTTCCATCTGCTAAACACGGTGGAGGATCTCTCATGGTTTGAAATGCACACAGAAAAGTCCCATTTTGATCCATCATACAATAACCATCTGGAAAGCAAATTCTGTTTTTACCTTATATACTGCATTTCCATGTATATTGGTACGTGGTTCAATAAATAACTGCACCTATTTCCATCGGAAAATATAAAGAAATGATGGTGGCTCAACACTTTTGCACAGCACATTAATCTGGGCCACAGCGGTAGCCCAACTAAACGAACAACAGACTAACAGTGCATCCCTAAAACCACAAGAGTAACATGAATAATAAAAATGCCACCCATTTTGGAGCATTTTTGGAGGTTTGGACAGTTGGACATATAAACAATTAATCAATTCTAAAAATAACCATCAGATTCAATAATAATGAAGTGACTGAGCCATAATTCCTGGAAATAAAGGCTGAAAAATCCCAAAGAAGACCAAATCATCTGAGTGTTGATAGTTATGCAGGCCTCTACCATTCATTCATTCCCCACTCCCATTTCAGCCCTCCCCCACTGAGTCACTGAATGGGGCTCGCTTCTGAATGAATGGAGGTATTTTTGCCCATCGCTCCCTTTCACTGGAATGTTTTCATTTTCAGACGTGCCAAAATGCTTTACAACTGCAAGTAGAGTGTGAGTGTGTGGAATAACAATATTAAGCTGCATAGAGCCATATCTCAGCAACACTGGCTGGTCCAGACTGAAAGCACAATAGTGGTCTTTTCACCCCGTGAGACAACTCTGGAATGTGTTTTCTGAATGGACACGGCTCTAACGTGACAAATGTCAACACTGCAGATCACATCCCACTAAGAAGCAGGTGATTAGTGAATTTGTACAATCCGTTCACTGATTTTAAACCTGGCTCCAAAATAAGTCACATTTGTGTCTTAAAGTCTGTGGCTCAATAGATTCCTGGTGAGAAGCAAGACATCATGACAACTTCAGTAGGTCACTACTAGCTAAAAGGAAAATGCAGGGCCAAAGGAATTTCCAAGAACCAGTCACATAGCAGCAAGACTCATTAAGATTTTCTCTGTGACACATTGTGTCAGATGTCCAGTAAATGTATTAACCTCAGAGCTCAGGGTGTGGCAAAGAGGCGAGGAAGGAAGGATGGAAAGAGGAAGCAGGGGAAGGAAGCTTGAGAGATAAGTCCCTGCCAGAAAAGAGGTTCACACAGCCCACCCTGGCTGGAAGCTGGACGGGAGATTATTCATTTTCTTGGATAAGGAGCCAGACAGGTTAAACATGAACAGACATGAGCAAACAGTTACATTCTTACATACACAGTGTAGTGGACACATATTGATATACAGACACAATTATCCACATCCTCACTTAAAACAATGACAACCATCTTACAGTGGAGGTAGAGAAAGAAATATAAATGAACTTCCCTCATTGGTGCCACTGACTGCTTCAGGAAACCGAATGATTCATATCCTAATGCACTAACATCCCTATTTCCAGTGATTATTTTTGGTCCCTGTATTTATACCACTGTGGATGAGGCAGGTTTTTTAGACATGTAGCATTGTTGAACTATATAATGGCTCCAGAGCACACTTGAAGGCATTGAATGAGGAAAACCCCAAGAAGTGTTGCTTTAAGACACACTGTACCTAACGGTAAAGAAGTAGGACAACAGCGGCCATGGAGACAGTGAAAAATGTTGATACAACCAAATAAAGATCAAAGGAACAGCATGAAACTAAAGACTAAGGCTTTATAACTTCGCATGCAAGCAGGAATTCCTCTTTGCTTCAGTCAAGCTCCTGTGAATCAAAGACAGCAGGAGATAAAACATCTCAAAGGCTTTTCCAAGCCTGTATTCATGCTCTGATATTTTTCTACTATTGAGAACTTTAATCTTGAGATTTCTGAAGTTCTTCCTCAGAGGAAACAGATTTCCCAAATCAAAGGCTGTGCACATAGCTCTGGCCTTCCTGAGCAATACAGTGACTACAGTGATGGGGTCTAAGTGTCAGTATGTGGGATTTTAAAAGCCACAGAGAAACTTCAGTTGTACATTAGGCCAAGCAGTCTCTTTCACTTGGGCTTCTAACTATCAAAGGTAAAAAACAAAAATCGTAACTGTTGTTTTTCTTGGGTTGGCCAGTTCCAGTGAAAGGAAATCTTAATGCTTCAGCTTACCAATACATTTCCAAATTTGAGAGAATGGGATTCTTCTACCACTGCAGGTTTCATTTTATTAACTGTTGTAACTAAAATGTCTTAATACGATCCCAGAGACTCTGTCTCAACCTTACAATTAATTGTCAAAAGTCTCATCTGGTACAACACAACATTGCCAGCTCATGGTCATGCTGACCTCGATCACCTGGTTTTAATGTGCACAGGAGTTGCTAGCATTCCTGTAAACGCTTCATTTCACCAACACAGTGTTTGCACTCTGAGTCTCTCAGTAATTATGTCAAGATGAAACATGACCTTGTCTGTTTTTCCAGTGTGAAACAAGATGCAGCTTGAATAGAAGAGCACCTCATAATTTAAAATAAGAAAAAGCACAAATTGTATTTCACTGGATCCTGATATTGGTAAATAACAGCTGACTGATTTTTCTCTCTCTGCTCCGTTGCAGGTTTTGTTCTGGTTATTGGACTTGTGACCTTCTATAAGATCGGGCCCAACACCCACCTTTCCTACTCCTGCTATATGGACATAGCAGCTTGCCTGCTGGCCACTATGGCTGCGGCTATGCTCATCTGGAACATTTTACACCGCCGTGATGACTGCCTTGCACCTCGAGTTATAATCATCAGTCCCTCACTAGCGTCACCTTTTCACCCACGTCTGGACAATGACTATGTGGAGTCGCCTTGTTGAACTCAGGAGATCTCACATGACACGCCAGTGACAAGACCCTTCATGTTTAACTCCAGCTACGTGACAGTAATGGGACTCTCAAAAGAAGACGACGCTCCTGTGCTCCCACAGCAGCTGGACTAACATACGCTTGCAATTGTATTCTATTTCTCCCATTCCAACAATAGAGATATGATAAATATTTTGCTATTTAGTGCACAGTTTTCACATTTTTAACTAAAGTTAATGTATAAAGCAGCCCTAACGTTCCAGGGAAATTCAAATCCTGCATGATTCAATCATGTATTCAAGCCAGAGTAATCTGTTAAGTAAAGAATTTGGATTAGGACTGTCTTTCATAAAACATAATTCATATGAAAAGATCAAGCTGGAACTTGACATATTTTATTAATGGTGCATTTATGAAATGGTCTCCTGCACAATCATAAATTTGAGAAAATGAAAGATGTTGAAATTATAATACTAGAATACCTCATATTTGTGTTCACTAGTTTAAAGTTTATTAAAAAAATGTTATGCACATAATAATTATATATGTTACATGTAGGGAACATGCCAGGATAAAAGCTGAAGAGTCTTCAGTTAGCTTTTGGGCCGTGCTTTGCCAAATCAGTGACAATATTTAATTTTTTTTTATAGCCAGTGAGAGATGGCATTTTGAACAAATGAAAGAAGAACACGAGGATATATTATAATGTTCCAAGAATACTTTGAAGCAAGAAAATTTAAAAAAGATAAAAGACAAATAACCCACTAAACAATGTGTATGGATAATTGTGGATTAGTTTTTATTCAATTGTTAGTAGCTATTTTGCCGATGTACTGCAACTTGTTCAGTTAAGTTCATTTTTCATGATGCTTCCTTTATGATTCTCTCCTTGCTTTGGTACATACTCGATACCTAAATTAATATAATATATATAAAAATAATACCATAGCGCTATCATAAGTAGTAGTAATGACCATATCATATTTCTGCAAAAAACTCCAGGTTATTTGTGGGACTTCCACATTAAAATAATAATATACCATGTATATCATGTAAATTCAATAAATTTATTGGTAAGTATAATCAAGCAGTGGTTGTTGTCTTTGCTGCTTGGTGCCCAACATCATGACAAAGGCTCATTCATTAAAAGTTTATTTTAATGAATTACCATTTTTCTAGTGACTTTAACCATTTATCAACTGGAAATTCTTTATCAGCAGTTGTCTTCTCATAACATTTAACCAGAAATTACATTAAGAGGAGAAGTGGGACAGAAATCTGTTGAAGAAAAACTAAAGATGGCAGTTGTCCTGCCCATGCTCCCAAAGAGCTGATTAATTATCTTAATGTGAAACACATTAGCCAATCATGTCACTGTGTTGAGAGAAAAAAAAACAATTTCAGGGCAAAGTCAACAAACTTTTGCATTTCTTTTTTAAATTGGATTTTCCTGCTGATTCTTTACAGGATTTTTATTTTTATTCCTCTGTATTCCTCAATATTTGATCCAAGATGGCTGCTTCCAAAACAGATTTGATTTAAAGAGGACATGAAACGCTACACATTTAAAGGCTAATTTACATCACTGAGCCCTGCTCTCAAAAACTGACATAGAACACTGTCTGTGAAGCTGGATCTAAGAAATAAGTGTTTAAAGTCAAAGTTTTAAAAACATGTTTAGCGTCATCTTCTGTTAGTAAGGAATGTGGTTGGTTGGTTGCAGCAAATAGCCCTATATTAGTTTATGTTAGCTAACTAGTGACAGAATCGATAACTCGGAGGAAAATAAGGACACTAAAACTAAAAACCAGTTTAAGGGATCACTTTTGTGCTGCTCCTGGCAGAAAAAATGTGTTTTATGTTAAGAAACTGTCTCTTTAGTAGTAAGTGGCTGTTTGCTGTTTGGCTAACTGCACTCAAAAGGGAAAATCCAGCAGTGAGCTGTAATGTTTGATTTTGTAAAGCAGCGGTCCCCAACCTTTTTTGCGCCACGGACCGGTTTATGCCCGACAATATTTTCACGGACCGGCCTTTAAGGTGTCGCGGATAAATACAACAAAATAAAATTAGTACCGGTACTGAAAAAAAGAAGATTTATTCATAACACACATGAAAAGACCCAGGAAAAAAAGTTAACGATAAAAACAATAATAAAATAACGCTGAAAACTGATAAAAACTCTGAAAACCATACATTTCACACCTGAGCCTCAACTCTCACGGCCCGGTACCAAACAACTCACGGACCGGTATAGGGGTTGGAGACCGCTGTTGTAAAGCACTTTATGAATAAGGACTGTGTGGAGGAGAGCTTGTTTGAGTCATCAGACCAACATGCTGTGAAAAAGTGTGGGTTTTTATTTTTGCACAGTTGTGACACCTACATGTTTCAGGTCATCAAACAAATTTTAAATCTAGAAAAAGATTTCAGTGATGGTTTCATTTATTAAGGTAAAAGAAAAAAATATCCAAACCCTCCTGGCTCTGTGTGCCTTCCTTGTTAATCATGAATGAACTATTTCACTACCCACACCCAGACCTGATTACTGCCAGGCCTGCTGGATCAAGAAATCACTTAAACAGAGCATGTCTGACAAAGTCAAATATGTTAATAAATCTAAAAGCAACACATCATGTCACAATCTAAGGAAACAGCTGAGAAACAAAGTAATTGACATCTATCGTTCTGGAACAGGTTACAAAGACATTTTATAAGGCTCTTGCACTCCAGTGAACCACAGTGAGAGCCATTATCCTGTCGTCCTTCTCTCACCCCAACCGGTCGCAGCAGATGGCCGCCCCTCCCTGAGCCTGGTTCTGCCGGAGGTTTCTTCCTGTTAAAAGGGAGTTTTTCCTTCCCACTGGCGCCAAAGTGCTTGCTCATAGGGGGTCATATGATTGTTGGGTTTTTCTCTGTATCTATGAAGCGCCTTGAGGCGACTTTTGTTGTGATTTGGTGCTATATAAATAAAATTGAATTTAATTTAATTATCCACAAATGGAGAAAAGTTGAAACAGAGGTGAACCTTCCCAGTAGCGGCCGGTATGCCAAAATTACGACTCATCCAGGAGGTCACAAAGGAACCCAGAACAACATCTAAAAAACTGCAAGGGTCACTTGCTTTGGTTAAGGTGAGAGTTCATTATTCAACAATAAGAAAGAGACTGCTGACGTAAAACTAACACAAAGAATCTCATACTAATAGTCAAATATGGAGGTGGTAGTGTGACGATAGTACCATGCTCTCGACCAGATAATCCAGAAGGAGAATGTCCGTCATCAGTTCATCACACAAAAATCAAGCTCACTCTGGTAATGCAGCAGGACAATGATCCAAAACACACCAGCAAGTCCTGGTGCGTCACTCCTCTAAACAGCTCACAAAAATCAAAATGAAGGTTTTGGCCTAATCAAACTTAAATCTAATTGAGATGCTTTAGCCTGACCTTAAACAGGCTGTTCATGGTTGAAAAGCCTCCAATATGAATTAAAAATAGTTTTGCAAAGAGTGGGCCAAAATTCCTCCCCAGCGATGTGAAGCACTCTTGCCAGTTTCTCCAAATGCCCGATTGCAGTTCTTGCTGCCAAGGGTGGCACAGTTATTAGGTTTAGGGGGAAATTACCTCTTCACAGGTCATCGGGTAAGTTTGGAAAGTTTTTGTCCCTTAAAATATTAAACCACCATTTTAAAGCAGCATTTTATATTTACTCAGGTTATCTTTGTCTAATGAATGAACTAAAACATGTAATTGTGACAAATATAGAAAAAATTAAGATAAAGGGGGGGGCACTTTCTCATAGTACTATACGCGTACAGCTGCATCACAGCTGTTGAACCCCGAAACCATGTCCAGCAGTTATATCTCAGCAAATCCAAAACAACCTAGTCTCAGAGTAACTTCCAGTTGTACTATTATAATAAGGAACTTGACTCTAGCCTGAAGCATCAAAGGATGGTACAAAAAGTACTGAATGACGATATCAGTTCCTTGGAGAATGAAAACCTCACAGGGAAGAACAACTAAAATTAGCTCATTCTTTCCAGTGACAACTGGCTTAAATGGGGGTCATGAGGGTCAAATGTATCACACCAGTCTCAGCCTGAACACCTTCTTGAGTCATTTAATTCCAAGGAAAGTTTGGCTCTAAAGAATAAATTCAAAAGAAAAAGACTGTAACAGACTGCTTGCATAAGTGTGGGAAGATAATCTTGTAGCAGCATGTCACTTAAAAGTCAAGGACAATGTGAATGAGAGGAAGCAGCACAGTGTGCACTGAGTAAGACATCCCAACCTGGATGTGACACACTGCTTTTAACGGCAGGAGGAACTTTGATACTGACAACATCACCTTCAAAGTGTGTTACATGTTTTATATCTCATCCGTGGATACTGTGGGTTTCATTATCAGAGGGAGGAAGGGCCTTTTATAGTGCACATTGATGCAGCTGTGACTCAGGTGATCTCACCTTTTAATGCACACATGTCAAACAGGCATATTGCCTCTAGTGTTTCCACCAGATATTTCCTCAAAATAAATCTACTACATCTGAATGAATTCTGGTTCACGAGCTAGAGTCAGATTTAAATATGAGACCCTTTGTTGATTCAGACCTGCATCATAGAGACAAGTCCCTGAAGATACAGGTTAGTACTGCAGGAAATGCATAATTCTGTGGGTGGAGATATGCGGGAATCATACACAATACAAATCTTCAAAAAAAAAAAATATGCGCAGCAGTAAAAATAGCCTTCAATGAGGAACCAAGTAAACCTGTCATCATGCCTATTAAACAGTTTGGAATATCCGGCCAATGGTGTAAGCCGTTTTCCCATTTGTTTGTTTTTATGCTATTTTCCCATTTGGGTAATGTTTGTACGTGCGAAAGCAACGCTACAGCAGAATTGTTCCCTGGATCACGTACTCCCCTAAAGATAATATCAGATCATCGCTGATATCACATAAATTTCTCAAAGACGCACACACACTTGCAGGAACTAACACACACATCCTTTTAGTGACCTGATTTAATGTTTGTAAGAATGGAAAAGGGGCACTCGCTTTGGACCAAACTGGCAGGGGGACCTCGAACGTGTGTGTGTGTGTGTGTGTGTGTGTGTGTGTGTGTGTGTGTGTGTGTGTGTGTGTGTGTGTGTGTGTGTGTGTGTGAGATTTAATGTTTAGAAAAGTACATCCCCTCAGAACACACCCGCACACTAACAGAAACAGTCACACATATACACACTGAAGAGTTCCTTCCCTCAACAGAGACACACAAAAAAACCCTTAATCATGTCCTGTGTTTTTAATCTAATTTATGTACAGTGAGTTTGCTCATTTTAAAGGATCCATATAGAGATTTCAAATTGAAAGATCATTGGTGTGTCATCACTTTTCGTTGCCAGGTGTTTAATTACAAAGGCTCTCATTGCTTAGGACTAACAG